TTTTGCATTGACATAGCAACTTTGTTAGCTTAGCCAAAGCCCTCCCACTCATCTCCATCATAGATTCAACATCTTTATGATATTGAGAGAGAATCCAAGTGCATTGCTTGAGTGTTTGCATCTAGAGGCAATTGTTGTTCGTGTTTCACTACGGGATTCACTTGTTACTCTTGGTGGTTGCTGCCACCTAGATGGCTTGGAGCAGCAAGGATCGTCGAGCGGAGGTTAGTGATTGTGTCCGGCTCCGATCGTGGTGATTGTGAGGGGTTCTTGACCTTTCCCTGGCGGAGAGCCAAAAGGTACTCTAGTGGATTGTTCATGGCTTGTGTGATCCTCATCTTGTGTTGGTTGTGCGGCACCCTATTGAGGATTTGGCATGTGATGCCAATTAGCGCGTGAACCTCCAAGTGAGTGAATCGCTACAACGAGGACTAGCTTACCGGTAAGCAAGTAAACCTCGGTAAAAAAACATTGTGTCAAGGTGATTGGTCTTTATTGGTATTCCTTCTTGTGATTGATTGGTTCACTCCTTGACTCGATGGTATAACCATCTTGCTCACTCTCTTTACATTACCGCAAACTAGTTATCAAGCTCTTTAGTGTAGCTAGTTGTGAGAGCTTGTTAGTTTAGTTAGTGTGGCTCTTTAGTTAACCTTTGAGAGCACACTAACTTAGTATAGTGACATAGCCATTGTGTGGTTAGAAACTATAGAAACTAGAATTATAGTAGGTGGCTTGCATTTTTAGTAGGCTAGCGCAACACTTGCTTCGCCTCATAATTGTCTAATCGGTTTGCTAAGTGTTGTTGTAGAAAATTTTAATAGGCTATTCAGCCCCCCTCTAGCCATTAAGACCTTTCAAGTGGCTAATTCTTTGGAAAATGTTTGTGAAAAGCTAACACACATACACATAGTGGTGTACACTTAGTGGTGTTGGCACATTTACAAAGGAGAAGAAGTTAGAGTTGATGAGGATCAACTCGGTGAAGAAACAGAGACGAGAAGATGTCACTATGAGTGACAGGACGTTGGCCTCGGCGGGACCGACGTGTTTGGCCAGTAGCAGTAGAGAGTGCGCAGGCATCGGTCTTCGACCGAACGCTAGGCGAAGAAGTGACCGGACACACAGGGCCTACATCCGGTCACGTGTGACGTATGGTGATGTAGAGCAGGCAGCTAAGGCAGCGAGGACCCGACTTTCAGCTTTGTCCGGTCACCTATGACCGGACACGTCTGGTCGCAAAACAGAGGCTCGGGGAGCTCTCTGAAAATGATCGGACTCAGGCATAGCAGCGTCCGGTCATCCTCACTATACTGCGTCCGGCCATCACTTGACCATTGGCGCGTGGCAGCCGACCGTTGAAATCAAGCGACTGAGGTTGAACGGAGGCGACGCGTGGCGTGCATCCGTTGACCGGACGCTGGACCAGGTGCGTCCGATTGATCTGATCGGCGCATCCGGTCGCCCCGATCAGTGCCCAGTGAAGGGGTACAATGGCTTTATTTTCTTCGGGGCTATAAAACCAAGCATTGGCTAGCCTTGGGCTGGTTGCTGAGCACACTAGAGCCTTGGTGGCTTATGTGATAGTGATTGGGAGCCCTCTAACTCACTTGAGCTTGATAGTGTTCATCCGATCGAGTGAGTGAGCGATTCTAGTGCGATTGCATCGTGAAGTTGCATCGAGTTGCACTAGGTGATCGAGTTGCAAGCCGGCGGTGCTTGTTACTCTTGGAGGTTGCTACCTCCTAGACGGCTTGGTGGTGATCTCCATCAAAGCCCGTAAGAAGCTTGTGCGGTGCTCTGGAGAAGAGCTTTGTGAGGGGCATTGTGCTCGCTCCGTGGGAGAGGCGAAGAGCAACTCTAGTTGAGCGTGTTATTGAGTTACCCTCACTTTCAGGATAGGTTCTTGCAGTGCCCGACGTGCGGGCTTGGCGGGTGATGTCAATTAGCCGCCGAACCACCAAGTGAGCGGTCGACACAACAGGGACATAGTGTGTTGGCAAGCACATGAACCTCGAGAGAAAAATCACCGTGTCAATATTGTTCTTTCTATTGGTTTGCAATCCCCTTACACAAGCTTGTAATTACTTTTATATACATTATGCTTGTGTAGTTGCTCTTGTAATTAGTTAGCTTGTGTAGCTCACTAGTTACCTTCTTGCTTGTGTAGCATAGAAGTTGCTCCCTTGCGTGGCTAATTTTTTTTATGTAACCTTGTTAGTCACATTGCTTAGTTTGTGTAGCTAAGTATTTGCTCTCTCTAATTTGGCATTGGTTGCTTTGTTATTGAGCATTGCTAGTGAGCTTATGAGCTTTGTGCTTTTGCTTATTAGAATTGTGTAGGAGCTCCCCGGTGTGCAAAATACTAGTGGCATAGGTTTGTGTGACCTTACTCCTAGAATAGGATAGGTGAGCTCTAACTAGCCCGACACCTTTGTTGGCTAATTAGGATCTTTATAAGGTGCTTGTGAACTTCGATAGAGGGGTATAGTCTTGGCTAGATCGTTTGTTTTAATTCCACATTTGTTTCGGTTAGCCGACATGATTAAATTTAGAAAGGACTATTCACCCCCCACTAGTCCGCCATCTTGACCTTTCAACATGTTGCGGTCGGAACGGACACGGGCGAACACCCCGATCGGAAGAGACACAAGAGTCCACAGCCCCAAAAAAGAGTACCAAGGTACTCAACCTCCGACCGACTCCCTAGTCGGCCGCTGGCTCGGGGGCTACACCCACCAGGTACGCTCGCGCGCACCCGATTAAAAACAGATTACCAGCGAGTCTCCTCCTTAGGGGTTGGGTGCCAATATCCCTCCGGCGCGTCCCCGTGGCCTTCGTCAGTCCTCCCCATAGAGGCTGGGCGTCCGTATCCACTTTGCGTGCCTCCACGGTCTTTGCCAATCCTCCACATGGAGGTTGGGTTCCTAAATCCTATTCAATTACCCTACGCGGTACAACAAACCAAGGGGGAAACACCGAAGTTTCAATAATAATCCCTTCACGACTTCACAGAAGTTCCAAAGGGGCTCGGGGGCTCCTGTCGGGTTCATAAACCCGAGGTCCCCAATGAACCCGCTTTCCTACAAATCTCGGCCCAGCAGGCAGCACACGCCTGGGTCGGCCTAGATACACAATAATAGGCTAAGACCACGATTCGATCCCTGACCGTCACCTCCGACCAGGGCCTCCCCGAACAGGCCACGACCCATCACAGGAAAGAGGGATACGGAGCTAAAAACGCTCCTACGGCCCGTATAGGTCCAGGAGTTCGAAGGTTGGCCCACCAATGGATTCGACAACCACTTCGGGCACCTTTAGAGTGAGGGGTAGAAAGGGCCGACCTCTGGGTCGGGGGCTCCGCCTCGCCCGACCTCTGGATCGCGGGCTCCGCCTCGCCCGACCTCTAGGTCACGGGCTCCGTCTCGCCCGACCCCCTTTCTCTGATCGAGGATACGTCGGACCTCTTGCTCGCTGCTCTTTCCCGACCGACACGGCTGGGGCCAACTGGGAACAACTGACCGGGGACGCCCGCTCGGTGTGGGCCCAGGGCGCAGGCGGAGCAGATAAGATAAGGCGCTCAAGTCAACCACAATACCGAGGATCGTACCTCGCCATATCCCGCGCACCTGTAGGACGGTGCCACCAGGCTATGATAGATGGACACTCTACAACCTTTCAGACGTGTCAGAGCATAAACAGTGTTATTGGCGTCGTCGTTTGTCGTACCATGCGAACACGGTAGAGCCTGCCAGACGTGTCTGGGCATAAACAATATTATGGGCGCTGACAGCCATCTCAGTACCCAACAGTGTGGGCAACAAGACTAGATAGCACACGTACGCACACACTCTCTCTAATTGTAAGGTCATCCCCTTCACCTATAAAAAGGGATGCGTTCTCTCCCAACAGGAGGAGGCTAGACGACTCGAGGACTCGACGATCTGAGGACTCGAACAGCTCAACAGCTCTAGAACTCGACAGCTACACAGAGCATACGCTCCAATACTTAGCGCACGTTAGAGCACCCGTCACTCTCTTCCATTCGGTTCAAAGTCCGACCGGGCCTCTAACACCCCCTTCTCATTTCTTATTCATTTGTAACCCCACACCAAACTTAGAGCATTTGGGCTCAGGAATAAAGTCACCGACCGACTGAAACGGGACGTAGGGCACGTTGCCTAAACCCGTATAAATCTTGTGTCATTGAGTGTTAGGTCATATCCGATCACAACGCACAATAAAACTACAAATATTTACTTATCGACCATATTTCGCACCTGTTGGTAGCGATTAGGAAGGGTATAAAAGTCCTTCCGAGCTGCTCACTTGTTTTGAGAAGAATTGATTATTCCCAAAACAATGTTATACTATAATAATAAAATAATAAAAACACGGTTATATTCCACGTCCCGGCCCCACGGGCGCGCAGCGGCGGCTCGCCGAGCCAAGAGTCACTTGGCGGGGCCCACCTCGTCCCCCGCGGCAGATCGGGCCCACACCAATGATGAGCCCGAAACGGCAACGCCGAGAGTCCCGGCAGCCGGGAGAGAGGAGAACACTCGCGGCACGAGCGCACACCGCGCACACACGCCTCGCGCGGCTGGCAGCGTACGACACCGACGACGGAGAGGGGGAGGAGGCGAAGCCGAGCCCAACCCCGCAACCGCGACCCACTTCCCCGTCGCGATTTGCATTGCCCTCCCCTCGGGCCCTGATCCCGCCGCCCCCTACCCCAAGCCCCTCGCCGCCGCCGGAGAGATCGTGCTCCCCATTCCCACCCCTCACTCCCTCCCTCGAGGTAACGCCCGCCCAACCCGATTCTCCCTCCAGCAACCCCGCGCCTCGGCGGCCCCATCGTTTGGCTTCGCTTTGGGACTGGTGGTTAGTTGGTTGATTGATCTAGTGCTCGATCCTCGCAGGAGCCGGCCGTGGGATGGGGCGGTGATCCGTGAGTGGCGTGGGGCGGCGGGTGCGGGAGCCGGTGGCGAGGGCATATCATGGTGCAGTGCCTGGACGGGGTGAGGCAGCTGCTCGCGGTCCTGCTCAAGTGCTGCGACGTCGAGCTCAAGCAGCCGCGGGGGCTCGAGGACCCCCAGGTCCTCGCCAGGGAGACCGTCTGTAAGCCCCAATCCGCTTCCTCCCCTGCTGCTCTGTCGCTGCTTCATTTCGCACGCACGAGGGAATGAATTGAATTGACGCCCGCGCCTGGTTCGGTCTGGCTGGGTGGGCTTGCCTGTGCTTGTTGTTCCTGCAGTCAGCGTTAGCGAGGTCGAGGCGCTGTACGAGCTGTTCAAGAATATCAGCAGCGCCGTCATCGATGACGGGCTGATTAACAAGGTCAGCGATGGGTGTTTGGTTCACTCTTCACTGCTTGGTTCTTATGTAATCTCTTACTAATCTGTGTGTGGTATGTGCAAGTATGGATGGTCCTGTTAGTATGCGTGTGTGTGATGGCCAATGCTGAGATGGCTGTTCTTGCTTGTCACCTCTGCGCAGGAGGAGTTTCAGTTGGCGCTATTTAAGACCAGCAAGAAGGAGAGCCTGTTCGCGGATCGTGTGAGTCTTCATTTGTTGCATATTGTTGATATGCTTTACAATTTTGTTTCTGGGAATTTTGCAAATCGATGAGAATCAGGATTGCTCGATAGTTAATGCTGCGCAGGTGATGAAAGCTATCAAAAAACTTGTGGGTGAGAGTTCAACAGAGAGTTGACTCCTGTAGTCTTTCTGATTGCATTGGATTTTTTGAGGGGCTATTCAGGGTCCTATTGATATATGCTTTAGTTACCCATTTTCTGTAAGAATCTATTGTTATTTATGCTTTCCCACCAATTGTCTTGCTAAATGAGTGAGTTAGTCATGTAAAGATGATATAAACCCTTTATCTATGGTTTAGGAATTAGGATCCCCTTTTGTGGGCCGCGTCAATCCTGTGCCCCACCTTTGTGTTGTTTAGCACCTTTTGTTAGCCAATTTGACAAGATCCTAGTTTCGGTTATTGTTTTGCATGATCTTTGTTATTTATTTATTCATTGTGAATTTTTGTTTCAAATCAAGACATTGTTATTTGTTAAATCTTTGCAGTAATATAAGTTTTGACATGACCCCTTTCCTCACATAGCACATAGCACCTACTTATGTTGCAACATGAAATGCTTGCTAATCTCCTTATTAATTCCTCACATTAGTGTGTGATGCAAATGCACTGAGCTGTAATGTTGTATATATCTGAATGGAAGTTGAGCGTGCGTACTGCTTATGTGAATAAATTTTGTATGACTTGTCTAGATTGGTTTCTACAGAAATGCCTTATATCTTATGCCATGCAATGCCTGCGTTGCGTTGCATTAGACAATGCATTATGCATGTACTTCTGTATGATTTCTTTATTTCAGAATGCTCATATGTCACGGATACAGTGTTGTTATATATCTAAATATACTCTGAATTCGTACTTAGACAAATGAGCTTTTCGGTGACTAGTCTATAATGCATCAGTAGGAATGCCATACATGTTTTTTTTTTTTGGCTCAACTGCCATGCTTCTGTTTTTTTTGGGGGTGGGGGGAAGGCTGTTGCCTTTCATAATTGTTGTGTGTTGTGAGCAAAATGACTCTGTGCATATCACTTGATACTTGAAAGCTATTCAAATGGGACACTTATGATCCAGTTATGTATCAATTGAAGCTAGTATGTTTAGAACCATGTTTTGTGTGGAAAAATGCACGAAAAATGTGGATCCCTGATCTTGCTTTTGGCTACTGATATAAAAGTAAATCATGTCCTTAATATTTTCTCGTCCCTTGCAGGTATTTGATTTGTTTGACACAAAGCACAATGGAATTTTAGGATTTGAAGAATTTGCTCGTGCTCTCTCAGTATTTCATCCTAATGCTCCCCTTGATGACAAAATTGACTGTGAGCTCCTGTGTTTTGTAAATTGATAATTTGGTTCTCCACTATAAATATTAATCTAAGTTCTATTATACGTGATTGGCCTAATGGTCAGTTGGTCACAGGAGCCTTACTGCCTTAGTAGCACCGCTTTTTTCCGCATCAATCCTGGGCCCACCTGTGTTGTTTAGCACCTTTTTTAAGCCAAAATGACAATATCCCATGGGCCACCTGTGTCGCTTTCAGCGAGATGCACATGGCTGTAGGCATGTGTCCTGGGCGCTCGGTGGCATGTCTAGGGCAGCCAGCCTTCAGGGTGTTTCTTGGCCTATGTGCGAGAAAAATCTTCTTAATACAATGCTGCAGGGGCGGTCTTTCCCCAGCTGGTACCAGCTTGTCACACAAGTTATACCGGTTACAGTAGTGTGCTTGGGGGGTCTCCTTTTGCCGGGCTGCGTTCAAATCCTTACAGCTTCTTATTGCAATGCCCACCCTGTGGTCGAGTTTTTTTTTGTCTTTCCCCCGCAGGTCGAGGGATAATTCACGACAATAACTTGAAGCTTATTTAAAATACCATTCCAAATTTTGGATGTACTTGGATTCACTAATGTGTAGTCTATTCAACATTCTTTTAGTAATATACTGAGTTTATTCCAAATTTTGGATGTACTTGGATTCACTAATGTGTAGTCTATTCAACATTCTTTTAGTAATATACTGAGTTTATGGTAAAGCTGAAGTTTAACAAACTTATTTTATGTAATGCTCCTTCTTTTCCACTTGTATTTTTTAACGCTAAATTCTGAAGGAAAAAAAATCTTGTATCGTTACTGCAGTTTCATTCCGGCTGTATGATCTCAAGCAGCAAGGCTACATTGAGAGACAAGAGGTATGGAACTGTGGATAGTATTTCTGCCAAAGGTTTTTACATGGTAGGAGTTAGCTTTTATGTACACTGACCGACCCAAATATGGTAACATCATTAAAATCTTATATCATGGGGTAGCAGCAGTAGCGTTAGTAATGCCAGTTGATTTAATAGCTTGATATAGGTGAACTCTCAATTGTCTTCGTGGGATATTGTCTTAGGTTTTTTTCCCTTAAGGAATGACCAAATGAAATGCGTGTTCAATTTTCAAGAACTGCTTTCTTTTGATTGAATTGTTTCCTTTTTTTCTGAAGTACTCTTCATACGAAATGTCGTCTTTGGATTGAATTATGCTCTTTTTTATCTAGCCTTAATGGTTTATTGCGTTTGGCTTTCAGGTTAAGCAGATGGTTGTTGCGACACTTGCCGAGTCAGGGATGAATCTTTCAGATGAAATTGTAGAGAGTATAATTGACAAGGTTTGCTGAAGTTGTGCATTTATATTATTGTATATCCTATTTATCTGTATAGTGTAGTTTTCCTCCAGTGAGTTTTATATGATGTTTCAGACATCAAGTTTGACCTGAAACGTCATATGAAGATTACAAGAGGGAGTATGTCTCAGAATGTTGTGCATCTTTCTCTATTCAACTACATAATACTGTTTCATACATACATTTCCAATAGAGTACTGATGGGCTGTGCTGGTAAACATTTATCAAATTGTGAGACACGTGCCATGTCTTTCTTGTTTTATTTGAGTCCAAGATACGATGCAGTAGGCAAATGTAATTGGACGTACCATTCCACCATTTTTTGTCACTGTTTGGTGCATCCTTCGAGAAAGTGCATTAGTGCTTATCTCTGATTTTCTACAGTCACTTGCGTCAAGAATCAAGATCATAAGATGTCAATTCCATGAATGTATCTTGTTTCTTTCTTGCTGCATTGTTCCCTGCTGTTGTATGGCTTCAGTGGGTTTGGCATGAGAAATAATCAGATTGTCATCCTCTTGCTTGTTGATATCCCCCTCGCTCATTTTGTTTTCTTTTGTCATTATAAGACATTTGAGGAGGCAGACACAAAGCATGACGGAAGAATTGACAAGGAAGAGTGGCGCAATCTAGTCATTCGGCATCCATCTCTGCTGAAGAACATGACTCTTCAGTACCTCAAGTAAGGAACCTTCTTGGCTGTGTGTATTGCTTGTCAAACTGTCATATTATTATATATAGCTTTGTCCTTTTATGCTTAATCTTAAGAAGTCTGGGTATAATGCTCTTTGCTCTAACTTAAATTTTTATATGGCTCCCTCTTTCCCTTAGCTAAAATATCATGTTGGAATGTTTCAAAAAATCATCACAAAAATTCAGTTTAAAATTCATCTTTGATGTTGAGATTCAAAAAACACAAGTATCACTCTCAGCACATGATGAACAGTGCCAGGTTGACTGCTTGTCTATTTTGTTTCTTGACATCTATGATGAATTTCAAACTGTATTGTTGCAACGGAACTTAACTTTATGTGTACTACAAATGATTTTTGTGATGATTGTTTGAAACATTGCAACATGATGTTTTAGCTAGCCAGACCCCCTGAGCGCCAAATATGCATTGGTTATTACTGCTCTTGAATAGGGTGATGGAAATTTTCATTTTTATTAATTAAAGGAGCTAAGGAGTGATAAGATAAGATTTGTGATGCACAATTTCGCGCTAAGCATTCAATATCTTGCAGAGGAAACAATACAATGTTGTAGTGTAGTGAGGCATGCAACTGAAATGCAATAAATCAGGATTGCACTATTTCAATCAAATTGCATAGATGACACTGACAGCGTACTGGCTCGCTATAGTTGGGGCTTCAGTGTAGCTCATATAAAAACCATGCCTTACTGTTGACGCACTTCCAAATTGTTTATGTTTCTATTAGGAAATATGCTGAATGAGTTTTTGGGAAGGCAAACCACTGTCTAAGAACTTGTCAGAGAAGCATCGGGCTGATAGTCTTAAAAAATGCATCATGCTTTAAATTAACCTGTCCTTTTCTAGTTTCTGTATTGGATGCTGTCAGTTCATAGTATGGATCGCCATTGTCTCTTCTTCTTGAGATATCTCACAAGTCTGCATTGCTATATTTGTACAGGGACATCACCACTACATTTCCAAGCTTTGTCTTCCACTCTCAAGTCGATGATAACTGATATTCATGGGATTATTTTGACAAGAAACATCAGAAGATATGATCGTGGGGTTCTGATATGGTTTTCATTTCTCAATATTGGGTTGTTGGATTGACCGAGATTGTAGTGCTCCGAAGTATGTTGCATGCTGGATTCAAGAACTCGAATCTTTTGTCAACCTTGTTTCTTTCATTTGCATGTCTGGATGCGCTTGGAAAGGATATGTAGTATATATGTCCAAAGTTTCCCCTTTTTTTTCCCTTTTGGCTGGCCTGGCTCGCAATCGGATCCGGTTCTTAGAAGCTTCTGTCTTTTGTAGAGGATAGAAACAGCGCTTTAAGGATTTCTATTGTGCTTGGACTTCTTTTTAGTTGTAGCTCGAGCAGAAATGTTTTTGGTTGAAGGTGTGTACTTGTGTGCTTCCATTAGTTTTCCAAAATGTATTTGTGTTTTTTTTTTCTCTAGTTCATTCTTTCTCCCATTCTTTCTCCAAGCATTTTAGTTTCTGAGTACCATGGGTTTTTCTGAGTCGACAGATATTTTCATGGTGCATATATGTATATTCCATGGAACAATATTTAGAGGATCATATTGGAACATGTGAATTCAAGTGTCGTATTCTCCAAAATTTGTACTACCTTAATGTTCCCAAAGGATTTTAAGGTTAAGTCAAATATTTTAAACTTTGACTATAAATAAATTTTTTTGGGTTAGAGTTTGAAAATATAGAAGTGATGTAAGTAGATTCATCTCGAAATATAGTTTTATAAAAGTATATATTCACTATGTTTTATAAATATTTATATTTAATAGCAAAAAGTAGCAATCAAGTTGTTTTTTGGAGACTGTGTCGATATCAAAATGACTTCCTTAAGAGACACGGTGGGAGTATATGTTGGTAGACAATCGAATTCAAACTGCAACCACAGAACCTTGCGCGGTAACACACGCCTCTCGTTTCATCCCCATCCAGACCGAGCGATTAACAAGTGGGAGATGGCAAAAATCAGGCCAATAAGAGTAGAATCGACCTAAAGATGGAGGAAACAAGTGGACAAACAATAGGATCGGAGGGGAGATGGAGATATCGAGTGAGCGACGGCATGAAAGAAAATACAACGTGGCGTTGCCCTGTATTTACTCCTTCCATTATGTAATATAGTGCATTCTGGCATTCAAAATTTATCCTCAAATATAATACATTCTAGAGAATAAAAACTAATTTTACATTAAATATTTTTCATTTATCAACCAATCACCATTAATCTTGTTGATGATAACGTCTGATTAGGAAACAAAATGTGGGTATATGCGTCTTTTATCTTCTCTCTTAATTTGTCTTAAACTTTCTAGAATACACTATATTACATGACAGAGCGAGTACCTTATTTGGTAACCCTGGACTGCTTCGACATTTAAGTAATGGTCTAATAACCTTCTTGTTACTTTGTGACCTAGGCGCGGCTTTACTGTTAAACGCGAGGTAGATATTAAAAAACGGTAATGCTTGTATTAGGGCGTCCATCCGCCCGGGCATCCCCGCTGGCAGGCCGGAAGGCCTAGAAGACTCTTATCTATTCCAATCCACTCACCTCCAGCCACGATAGTTTCCTAAAAAAAGAAAAATAAAAAACTCACCGCAGCGCCGCAAGCCTATGACCGCGCTTCGCTGCGCATCCCGCCCGCCATCTCCACCGTGCCTCCTGCCCGCCTTCTCTCCACTACGCCTCCCTCTCCACCACGCGCTTCCGCTCGCCTCTCTCTCCACGACGCCTCCCACCTGCCTTCTCCATCGGAGTGACCTGCTACGGCTTTCTCCACCGGAGTGCCGAGCTCCGCGCCACCGAGACGCTGTTGCAGGACGGCGTGGCGCGTGGCTACCCTCTCCCAATCGTGTAGCCGCTGGCTCTCCACCATGTTGCAGAGTCGCCGCCGCTGGCCCTCCGCCGCCAGCCTGCCGCCAGCTCGTCGCCTACAAGCGCCCCGGGGCCACTGCCTCAGACACGCCGATGTGCCTCCATTCTCCCAAGCGACAAGGAGATGTTGCGCTGAAAGTACATGCTGCAAGTGTATGTTTCAAGTGTTTCAGATGTTTCAGAGATATGTTGCAAGTGTATCATACGAATGTTGCAAAAGTAGACCGTGGTGTTGCATATGTTGCAATGGTTGTACACGTATGTTGCAAGTGTCTGTTTCCAATGTTTTATTTGTGTTTTCAGACGTATGTAACAAGTGCATTTATCTGAATGTTTCATATGTTTCGCACATATGTTGCAAGTATTTTATCTGGATGTTGCATATGTTTGCAACAGTTTTCAAGCATTTTCAGGTTTTTTTGCAAGTGTTTCAGAAGTATGTAAGTGTTTCATTTGTCTTCAGACGTATATTGCAACTGTTGCATCTGGATGTTTCAAAAGTAAATCAGGTGTTTGCACATGTTGCAATGCCACCCGCCTGTTGCAGATGCTAGAGGGGGCGCGATTTTTTGGGTCGAGCAGGGCGCAGACGCCACGTGGGGTCGACCGGAGATGCAGAAGCCGCGTGGGCTCGGTTTGGGCGCAAACACCTCGTCGGGCTAGCGTGGGGGCGAAGTGCAGACGCGTCCGTCCAGATGTCTGGACGCTAACACTACCGTTAAAAACACAAGTTAGGCCTTGTTTAGTTCCTCCCCTAAAGTTTAGTCCCGATTACATCTTATGTTTGGACACATGCATGGAATATTAAATATAGACTAAAAAATAACTAATTGCACAGATTGCGATTACTTTACGAGACAAATTTTTTAAGCCTAATTAGTCCATGATTTGATAATGTAGTGCTACAGTAAATATGTGCTAATGATGGATTAATTAGGCTTAATAAATTCGTCTCGCGGATTACTGAGGACTTGTGTAATTTGTTTTATTATTACTGTCCGAACACTCCCATGTGACACCCCATGTAACACCCGATGTGACACCTCTAAACTTTACCCCCTGAATTTAAACACCCCTGTCGGGGACCTAATACCGGGGTACCCCAGAAGGTGGGACCAATAACCACCGAACGTGAAAAACTTCCGGACGCATAAGGGCGCCGTTTCATCCCTTGTTCGAGCGACAGGAGTTCGGTTCCGCCTCGCCCGGGGCGGGCTCGGTCTCGCCCGAGGGCTAAGGGATAGAATCCGCCTCGCCCGACCCTAGAGGGGCGAGGTCGGTCTCGCCCGGGAGATAGGAATTGGTCTCCGTTTCGCCCGACGGCAACGAACGAGTCTCACCCTGCTACATATCTAAAGATTGGATTCGTCTTACCTGACAACTTCTCCCCATTCCCTCAAGATGATAAGTACAGGGCAAGACAAGACGTTTGGGTCAACCATGGCTCCAAGGACCATACCCTGCGCCCTAACAGGAAAAGTACTGCCAGGGGATGACAGGATAGGTGCTTTAGACCCTTCCGGGCGCCGCAGAGCTCGAAAGGTTGTACAGGTGCATGCTCCTCGCCCTGTAGAGTTGTAGGCGCCGCCTTCAGCCCTGGGACACGGAACCCGACGAAGATATACGACAATCGCTACGCTCCAGAAAAGGAATTAATATCTCCACGCACGACGGACTTTTCGTCACCACGCTATGGACCCGAGGGAGCGGCACCCGCTTCCCGACCCCTCAGGTCCACCAAGTCAGAAGCCCTTGACCACGTCGTCGCTCTGGACCCCGACCCCTCGTCCCTCTGACAGAGACTCATAGAGCCAGAAGGCGTGCGGAGCAAGGCTGGGTGAGGTTCATAAGTCAAAACCATTGTACTCTGGCCCATGTCCTGCGTAGGGTACTATTCTATAACCATCCTGACATTCTACAGAAGCATCGACAGTATTGTAGGCGCCTATCTTCCTTTCACACCCATCAGAATGGGTAAGGAGGCTAGGTAGAGCACGGATCCTAAGCCACTAACCCTTGTAAAGCCATCCCCTTCATCTATAAAAGGGGATGCGCCTCCTCCAGAAGGGGGAGAGGCTGGAAACCGAACAATACGACACACATATACACACGGTCAAGTTGTTTCGAACCTCTTGACATCCCTTCAACCCCTCCATCAGAGACTTGGGACCAGTCCCTCTCTCGATCATTTGTACCCCTTACTACAAACCGTTCACGGTGCTAATAACACGAGCAGCAACAAACTGGACGTAGGGACTTTCGGCCCGAACCAGTATAAATCTTGTGTCCTTTAGCGCACCATCCGAGCCTAACGCGCATTACTATAAATTTACTTGCCGGTGCTTGTACGAAACACCGACAGTTGGCGCGCCAGGTAGGGGCTTTGCGCGTTCCAAATCAGGCCTCGGATGGCCACCCACGTAATTAGCTAGGCCCCGGGCGCACGTGTGCGTTTCGGCGACCTAGATTTCATCGTCACACTAGGAGGAGAACTGGCGCTGACCCACACGGCCGCACAGTCTCTCTCTTCCATCAACCTCGGCCGTCTGAGGCTTGAGGATCTGTGGGGCGATTCCCTTGGACCCCAGTCATCCAGGGAGCCCCCGGGCGACATAACCATGTTTCCGAAAGGCCCCGTACGAGGCGCCCCGACAGCGTTTCCGTTCGGTCTCCGCAGCGACGCGACGACCACTGGCCACCTTCTAGCACTATGCATGGGTCAACCACCTACGAACACCGAGTTCGTAGGGGTAATCGAACATGATCCAGAGACACTCTATGGGCTCCTCACGGAGGAGCCAAAGTCGTCCTCTAGCTCTGACTCCAGCAAGGGGAGCCATCACCCTTCCCGGGAATGCTTCATGACGCAAACCCCCGAGGGTGACGTCCAAAGCATCTCCGGAGAGGAGACAACCCCAACAGGCAACCCCGACGCCAGGATCGAGGCGGAGACGGCGGCTCCATCTCACGTAAGGATGGAGCAGCTAAGAGCATGAAAGCTGGAAATCGATGACGCCGGGCAATAGCTTGTCCGGGAATACCGAAACATCGAGGAGGAGATCAAGCGTCGCGGAGACAGTGGGCACGCACGCACCTCGGCCCGTG